AAAATCATTTTTTTTGAATTTTTTTTCTCAAATCCTCAATTTCAGTTTAGACATACCTAAAGGTACCTCCAAATCTCTCAAACTAAGGCTCTAATACCAACTTGTAACAACGTAAATTTTCAAACCAAAATTTTCATTTTTAAAACACATTAAACTCATTTTACATTTTCTCAAAAACCACAAGTGTCTCAAATGTCAATAAATCCACAAGTAAAATCACTATCCCAGATTCATAAAAATAATCTCGCACCAGTGTGTAATATCAAGTCGGTGCCTTCCCGCGATCCTGAGAAGTACCTGAAACACATATCACACAACACGGTAAGCATAAATCTTAGTGAGTTCTCCAAAATACCACGTACACAAACAATAAGCCTCTCATGGCTATAACTCGGTTTGGACCCTTTGGTCATGTGTCTCAGTGAGGACCCTCCGGTCTCACAGCTCGGGTTGGATCCTCTAGTCCTGTATCTCGGTGAGGATCCTTCAGTCTTACATCTCAGGTTGGACCCTCCATTCTTATATCTCACTGAAGACCCTCCAGTCTTACAACTCGGTTTGGATCCTCTGGTCTGATCTTAGAAAAACATAGAATAACATAGCAAATAACACAAAGACAGAAAAGCACATTATTACATAACTCAATATAAGTACATAGGACTCTCTAGTCAAATAACTTATATAAGGCCCTCCGTCCTCTCGGTATTACCACTCAGGTAAGTATAGTGAGAAGACTCACCTCGTAAGAAATCAGATAGCCTCGAACTCAAATCACCGGTCTAGCCTCCGCCTAACACAAACGATAATTATTTCTAATTAATAACGACTCTCAAAGAAGCTAGAGTAATCCTTCTACAAACTCACTGAATGACAGCGGTAGTGCGTACGTGGCACGTACAAGCCCTCTATGTTGGGCATACTCCTTTGCCACACATGCATCGGGGATTCGCAGTCCCACACTACGCGTACTGGGATTACGCTCAGCGTATGTCCCTATTTTGTTCTTCTCACTCGTTTGGTCTTCATCCGTTAAGACCTTAGCTAAAATTTCAGATCTGGACGTCCTAAAGACTCTTACTCCATAAAGTTTGCGACTTTATGCGTTTGCATGGTTGTTAAAGCCACAAACTTCAAAACTCTCACTCTTTATTCTCAAATGTGCTCATAACTCATGCATGGTTTGATTTAAACATCCAAGTCTTGATTTTTATGACTCTACACCACTCAAAACACTCAAAGGAGCTGATAATAAACTCTGGAGCTCAATATCTCATAAAGCATCCAACTTTGGGACCAAAACCCTAAAATGGACTAAAATGATGCACAAATCAAAAGAGTGAGAAAGATTTGAGCTTTATACCTCTAACTGAAGCTCCAACCACAGATAAGCTCAGATCCAAAGCCTGAACTCCTAATCCTTCCTCTTCAAAGCTTATTCTTCACACTAAAGAAATACAAGAACACTCAATAACTCATAAATGGCCTCACAAGCTCAAGGGATGAGAAATTAGGGTTTGAGAGGTTTGATGTCTGGGAATGGTGGCTAGAAATGAGGCCATCATGTCCTTTATATAGGGGCACACCCCAAATTAGGGTTTCACGCTGGGCCTAGTACGCCCAGCATACTAAGTGGCTACCGCATCAAAAACACGTTTATGAGTACGCTAAGCGTACACTCACATATGCCCCACGTATTCATTTACCACCTTTTTCTCATATAAGGACCAAAATTGACAATTACCAAAAGAACAAGGGTATATAGAGTATACCTGGTCATGGGATGTTACATAAGTCACTTAAAGTCCTCAATTATATATATATATATATATATATATATATTTATGATTAATATGTTTTAATATATATATATATATATATATATATATGATTAATATGTTTTAATATATATATATATATATATATATATATATATATATATATATATATATATATATATATATATTAAAACATATTAATCATATATTGAAATTTATGAGGTATAAGTAGGGATGAGCAAAAGGACCGAACCGGCCGGAACCGGACCGGAACCGGGAATCGGCTTCGGCCAAAATCAAGAACCGAACCGGCCCGGCGGTTCTACCGGTTCCCGGTTCCTACTGGTTCTTGTCGTGTCTTCAAATGTTGGAACCGGTCCTTAAAAAATAGCATCATACGGTTCCGGTTTTTGCCGGTTCTACCGGTTCCGGTTATATCGGTTCCGGTTCCTACATGTTCCCGGTTCCAAAAATCCACAAAAATAATGTCCCGGTCCCGGCCCGACCGGTTCCGATGCCGGTTCCGGTTCCGGTACCGGTTCCAGCCGGTTCCCCGGTCCATATGCTCATCCCTAGGTATAAGATAAAAAACTTTTAGTGCCAATCAATTATGCATACACAAATCATTAATACTTTTCAAAAATTTAAAGACTTGAATTAAAAAAAAATTATTTAGAAATTCAATTTTGAGCAAAATGATAAATTTAAAATACTAAATTCATCATAGAGCTATTTATGACCGCTGCTTTGTACGAATACACATCTAGTAAAGTTTAAAAAAGTGTTAAGGTTTGATTTGAAAATTAATGAGTTTAACGGCATTTAGTTTAAATTAAAAGGTAAAGGATTCAAGAATTTAAATGGCGTATTTAATTTAATATATTAATATTAGTCAAATTTCCCGACTAGCATATATAATTCAATCAATTCATTTGTGTATTTGGCAAGGTTTTGGAAACCAGACTCTCGATCGAATTGAGTGTTTTCTTGGTTTGGTTTGATGGTTTAATTGGTCCAATTGGTTAGATCGGTCTTAAAAACGAGATGATATTATAATTAAATAATTATTAGTTTTAATTATATAAAAATTACAAAAAATAAAAAAATAAATATTTTTTGAAATTCCTGATTTTTACCGGTTTAACCGGTTTTCATCGGTTAAAACAGGTTCACATAACGAACAATTTTTTGGCCTCTGAGAACCGGTTCCGGGATTGGTTATACCGGCCGGTTCGGTCCGGTTTTCAAAACATGGGTGTTTGGAATTGAATTCATGTCTTTAGAATTACCTAAAAATAAAATGTTGGTTATTTTGATAACCAAAACATAAACACTGAAGCATTAACTTTAGATCTTTAATCTCGGATCTAATTAAAAGAAAACTTAAACATAAAAGAACGATTATTACATACGTGATTCTATTGAGTTTTTAGGATCTGTGAGAAGAATGAGTTTTCCGGTTGATCTCAATAAACTCTATATAACCCTTATCAAAAAAAAAAAAATGATATTCTTTGTGTATTCTATTGATCTGCTCTTCATCATATATATATATATATATATATATATATATATATATATATATATATATATATATATAAATATATATATATATATATATAGAGAGAGAGAGAGATACCCTAATGTAAAAGATGAAAGGGATCTTGAAGATCTTGAATCAAATTGAGAACTTAACCCACAAGATAAGTAAATATTTTATAGATTGGTCCATCAACAATTTATATTCTTACCATAATAAATGAAATTAATGATAACATTACATATATATGAAGTGGTCCCATTATTATCTAACAATCTCCCACTAGACCACAAATATATAAATGTATGTATAACCATATAAACACTTTAATGAATATTATCATAATATTGGTACCCTTAAATAATATCGTCCACTAATCATAATAGTATAGGATGAAAGCGGTATTCATTACAATTTACGTAGCTAAATCCATCAACGGTCACATATAAATATATAACTAACGACATGGATTAAACATGATGTATTGTTTTAAAATCTAAATAGATTTCCAACGTGTTCCTCTTTAGATTGAAGTGAGATCAAACTTCAAATAAGTGCAACTAATAATGAAGTTAACATAATTCTTAATTATGTACAGAAAGACATATTGTTCTTAAACAAACCATAAAGCACCATAAAACTCTCACTAAAACTAAATATAACACCAATGAGTGTAGTATGCTCATGAAATACCTAAGGAGGTAATCTATTTACGAGCGAATCATCTTTAATGGAGTTTGTTTTATATGCTATATATATATATATATATATATATATATATATATATATATATATATATATATATATTTTCCATTTTGCACTATTGTGTTAATAGAAGGAAACTTGATGTCAATATTCTTTGACTTAATAGAACTTTTGTTGTTGGAATATAACATTGCTGCCTTATTATCATAACTTTAGTGGTCTTTCAATACCAATAACGTGTAGCCTCGTGATAAATTTCAACAAACATATTCCGTGCTACAAATTATGTTGCCATTATGGATGAAGCTATCAAAGTTTGTCCATGAAATGACTCGTCATGCTAAAATGTAAAAGTATCCCGATATGGATCGCTAACCATTTTAGCATCTAATAAATTCAATTTCTTAATAAAAATGATCTCCAAAACATTTAATTTCCTATAGTTGAGCATATAGCCTTTTTTATATACAGATACCTCAAAATCTATTTGGCTGCTTTCTTATGATCCAAACATGGGTTGCATAGATATCTGCCCAAAACCAGAAAGATAAATTTACTTCCACTTAATTTGTGATACACGAAATCATCTACTGTATTTACCTCAAAACCAACAAAGATAATAAATTGATGAAAAATGTGGTGCCACAAATGAGATATCCAAAGTTGAGGTTGTTGAGTTTGTCTATTCAAAATAGGAGATTGCATAACATTGTCGATCACTGATTCATAATTTGCATACTATTGAAAGCAATAAATTGACAAAAAAAAAAAAATGTGGTACCATGCATGGGATATCCAAAGTTATTATTTTTTATATATATTTTGATGATTCCCTAACATTTTTATCCTCATTGTGATGTTTCGGATTTTTGCATATTCTTTGAAAAAGCAGTATGTAAAACGTGTGTCAATTTTCTTTTGTTGGGTTTTTGTCCTAATTTCTAGGTAAAATTTGCTTCACATGGATGGGGACAAAACCTATGGTGCACATATTTGAACCAACTATGATACGGGAAATTTTGGCTAACTATTATCAATTTCAAAAGCCATGGGGTAGACATCCGTTAACAAAGTTGCTACCAAGAGGATTAATCAATGCAGAAGGTGACCAATGGATTAAACATAGAAAAATCATCAACCCCGCATTCCATGTCGAGAAGCTTAAGGTTTCTTAAAACTTCTCTTCTCCTTTTCAATACACTATGTAACCTATATATATATATATCTATATATATATATATATATATATATATATATATATATATATATATATATATATATATATATATATATATATATATATATATATATATATATATATATATATATATATATATATGAAAACATCATGTGGGTGAATTTGTGTTTTTTTGGCAGCATATGGTACCTGCATTTTATTTGAGCTGCAGTGAGATGATCGAAAAATGGGAGAAACTGGTAACCAAAGAAAGCTCTTGTGAACTGGATGTGTGGCCTCATCTACAAACCTTTTCAAGTGATGTAATTTCACGTACATCATTTGGTAGTAGTTATGAGGAAGGAAAAAAGATTTTTGAATTTCAAAAAGAACAAGCTGAATTGATTATAAAGGGTATACAATCGATTTTCATTCCAGGATCAAGGTAATTAAATACATTTCAAAACAACATTTTAAAAGGGTTAATGTCTTTAATAGATAACAACTATATATAATTTGTTTATTTTCAAAATACAATTAATTTTAGAAACTACTAATAGAATGTAAGTAATGAGGTCTTTTTGTTTACAAAATACTTTTCTTTCGATAGTATTTTGCAAACGTATTGTTCTAACTGCTTATCTTCTGATTTTGTTTTATTTAAATAACCTGTTTTGTTAAAAATTAGTCTGTTACTATTTGTGTCATGGCAAATTATTTCTCCCTAAGTAAACTAATAGTATTCATATTTAATCATAACACTTTAACATGTGTGGTGATATATCATTTGGCGGTTAGATCCGTACAATCACTACATTTTGGTATTTTATGGTAATCAAATAAGATTTTATAGATTTTTGCCGACAAAAGACAACAAGAGGTTGAAATATATTGACCGTGAGGTGAAGGCTTCAATAAAGAGCATTATTGATAAACGATTGGTTGCGATGAAAGCTGGAGAAACTATTAATGATGACCTTTTGGGTATTCTTTTGGATTCCAATTACAAAGAAATCAAACAACAAGGGAGTAGCAATTTTGGATTAAGCATTGAAGAAGTAATCGAAGAATGCAAGCTTTTCTACTTTGCAGGACAAGAGACAACGGGAAATATGCTTGTTTGGACAATGATTTTATTAGGTCAACACACAGATTGGCAAACACGTGCTAGAAAAGAAGTCTTAAATGTCTTAGGAGATAAAAGACTAGATATTGATGGGTTAAGTCACCTAAAAGTTGTAAGTTTGTCCATATTACTTATAAATTTACTAATACGCCAAAGTTCTTATTTCTTTTGTATCTTAATCATATCATTTTGCAGATTAACATGATTTTTAATGAGGTTCTTAGACTATATCCACCAGCAGTAATGTTAAGACGATTGATACATGAAGATACCAAATTAGGTAAGTTAACCTTACCAGGAGGGACCCTTATCCAACTAAACACATTGTTTATGCACCATGACAAAGATATGTGGGGTGAAGATGTGAATGAGTTTAATCCTGAAAGATTTTCTGAAGGTGTGTCAAAGGTGACCAAGGGTCAATCTACATATCTACCATTTGGAGGTGGCCCTCGTATATGTATTGGCCAGAATTTTGCTATGCTAGAAGCAAAAATGGCACTTGCTATGATTTTACAAGGCTTTTCTTTTGAGCTATCTCCATCGTACTCACATGCTCCACATACTATAATCACTCTACAACCTCAGTTTGGTGCTCACTTGACTTTACACAAACTTTAGGTGGTTTGTTTTGCATATTTTAGTTAATAAAATTATGTTGTGTTATACTTTTGTGGTTACAGATCTTTTCAATTGTAACACATGTATTATTTATATCATTATGTATTGTAATCAATCATGCATAATGCAAATGGATACACTAGTTCTAAGACAATATTGTTTACTATATTAAAAAAATCAAATGTATTTGTTAGTAATAAACAAGAACAAATCACACACACAAAGTCACACTATTTTATGTGGTTTGATCAATGTGACATATGTCTACATGGCATGAGAGAGTATTCTTATTCATGAACTTGAAATCGATAATATAATTAAAACCCTAGCTAATAAATATCAACCGTATTCTACATGCAATGTAGACAATGTAAACCTAACTAGAGTAGGGTTAGACCCAACTACACAGATTAACGCAAGGTGCCGAGTTTATTTACTTTGTTTAGTTGGGTAAATATTTATTCAATCATCAATTCTCAAATCACATTTAACAATATATACCATTGATTTGAGTATATTTCAAATCCCAAAAACCAAGAACGTTCACTCCCTCATGCCATTTTTCCCAAAAGGACATATTTCCCACTAATTAATGTTTACCGAGCCCGAGCAATGCTTGAATTTCTAGGTGGGCATCCTCTTTTTCAACATATTAGCTGGATGCTCCTTGGTATCCATCTTTTGAATAGAAAACTTTTATTTTTGATAGTTATGAACTTTTTTAAAGGTTTTTTTTAGCAATTTCTTGTCTGAATGAGCCTTGCATGCCGTTTTTCTTTATGATAGTTATGCATTTTTTTTTTCTAAAAAAACCTTCCTTTTGTGAATAAACATTGAGACCTTTTTATTATAGCCTTAATAATAGACTCAAATTATAAAGTTTAATTGTTAGATATAACCACTTATTTATTTGTTGTATGTGAAAACTGGAAAATTTTAGAACAAGCAAAGTCTAAATTGTAACCGTGTATAAGTGAATTCACAACGTAATATTGTTGCAATAAGACTGTGAAAGCCAAAAGGGGATCATATACAAGTAAATATGCATATATACTTTGAAAACTATGTTCGTAATAAACCTTTAAAAATCAACAAGTTATAGCAAGTAAAGACAAGTGAAATAGTTGGAGCATATAAATCAAGAATTAAAAATTTTCTTTATAGTTTTCGGCCTAGTACCCCACCAACCTAGTGATTTCAGTTTGCCTAGGACTGAAATCACCCTTTAGTGGGTAACACTAAAACCGAAATCCCATGTTAAAGACCCATAGGACTGAAATCACCATTTAATGGGTGATACCTAACCGAAAACACCATGTTGGGAAGACTTAGAACCGAAAACATGCTAGAACCAAAAGACCCCTAGACCGAAATCCTCCTTACACCGAAATCACATGTGATTTCGGTCATACTAAGGGGATTTCAATGGGTTCTCGGTGAGGAAAGTAAATAAGGAAAGTTAACTTTGTGATTTAGATATTTCCTCCTTTCCAATACAAAACTATACCCAACATATATCAATGTTATTAACCAACAGCTAACTAGGCAAATATCATATCATCCTTTCCTCTTTAACATCAACATTTGCATGATCTATTACTATGTGAAAATAAAACATTATTTGCATGAGATATGGTTATCAGTAGCTTTTATACAAATATTTGTGATATTTTAGTTTTGAAATGAAAAACTAACAAAAACAAAAACATAATATATGTTATAAAATCATAAGAAAAATTATGATTGTAAAACTATATGTTTTTTTTTTTTTAAACCAAAATATACATTTTCAACAAAAATAAGTACATTCTAATTATTTCACTATTTTGTGGGTTACAATCCAAAAATATGATGTTTCATCTTACATTTTGAAACTAGACAAGATAATTACTATGTCTTTATATAAATGATTTTATAAATGTTTTTCAAAACAAACATGATAAACAATAATTGGTATAGTTTGTGAAGCACAAACACCACATTTTCATTTCGGAAGAAACATATAATTATTTAAAGGTATAATTATTTTATCTACAAGAATAAGGGGTTTTCAGTTCACGTATATCGGTTGATACTGGTTGCGAGACATTTGGCTTCACTGTACCTACCAGAGTACACATTAGGTCCTACATTACAACCAAAGTCTCTTGTTGGGGGAGTATGACACTTATGTATAGATCTATACGGGATTGACAACCCTGCACCTCAGATGTTAAAGACAGTTAGATCGACCAGTCTAGGGTGACAAATATGATAACAATTCCGACACCTGAAGAACGTCGTAGTAGGCCAACGAGTCGCATTAGTATGGTTATAATAACTCACATAGGGTATTAAAAAACATTTGATTTACGGGTTTACACACATTCAAGTAGTTTTATATAAAGATAAAACTTTACAGCATCATTTTGTAGTACAACACTACTTACATCTTTAGTCTTGGGATTCAAGACTTACAACTCATTTTTTAAGAAAATATTGGATTTTCTGGAAGTATACACTATCATTTTACACGAAATAGTTACAAGATCCTTCTCATACAAAACGCTTATGAACTCACCAACTTAATTGTTGACACTTTTCAAAATCATTTGTATTCTCAAGAGATCAGTAAACAGGTAATCCAACTGTTTTTGGAGGATGAGGCATCGTCACATCATGTTATTATTTTTGTATACATATTTGATATCAAGCAAACAATGTTTGAATACAATGTAAACTTTTAAATTATAAATATGATGGTTGTATGGATTTGATTCATTTATATTCAATTGGTTTTATACTGTACAATGACGTTATCTGCCCCCAGACGTATCCGCCGTTCTGGTTCGAGGGTGTGATAGATTGGTATCAGAGCATTGTTTATAGTGAACTAAGTATATCAATCCACATAAAATATACATCTATAAATATAATGAGGCTAAAACACTCTGACTAAGAAGTATAATTTTAAAATATAATAGTATTTTCATAAAAAAGTATACATACATACATACATACATACATACATACATACATACATACATACATACATACATACATACTAGAAACAGTGTCATAATAAGAACCATATAAAAGTATTAAGAGGAGTTAAACACTACGGTTAAGCCTAGACAGTTATGTAATCATATCTTGGATAAATATAGTTTGATCAACTATATTTATGCGAGATATGACTAATATGTATTTTGGAATGGTCGTGGTGGGAAAAGAATCTAAAACTTACCAAACCTATACACCAAGAAACTCTAAAATCAAACATAAAGATTAAAAATACTATTGGAGTATTTTTGAATATTCTAAATCATTCATGTGTTTATCATATCTCCATTCTCGCACAGACGACATGTCATGATTTCACATGCCTGGAGACCCCTATTTCCCTAACCAGGGAAATGGTGGGTGGATTGAGGAGGATCTTGAGGAGCTAGTGGAGGAAGAGGAAGATCCCAAGGAGGACCCATAGGAGAAAGAAGACGAGGAGGAGGTCATTAACCCTCCTTACATCGCCAGGGTTCCCACACACCGACAACAGCGCCAACGTTCCCCTTACGGAACAAAGCAAGGTTTTTATAACCTCAACTATGAGGGTCCGACAGATAGGTCCCTTCCTGTCATGGTTTAGCAAATCTTGCACCTCGGGGATCAGACTAGGGCATCGACGAATCAGATCATGGAGCTAGGGGCCGCTGCTGAGGCCACTGACGCATGGACCCGATGGCTTGAGAAGGACTACACCTGGGCATGTCACCTCATTGACGCTCTCCATGAGGACTTTACCACTACGTGAGCGGAAGTGAGAGAGTACTAGGAAAGGAACTCAGCCCTCGAGGAGAGGCTGATTGCAGCTGAACGTCGGATAGCAGAGATGCAAGCCTCCACGACTTTATCCCACGGCTCACAGGAGACCACCCACCGTGAGTAGAATTGATATATACAAGTAAGTGTTGGTGCTACTCTTTTATGTAGACCTTCTTAAAGGTTAATTTTCACAAAACTATGTACTAGCACTATATTATCAATGAAATGGGCACACATTTTAGTTCATTGGGTGTTGCTATTTGTTATGCAATTGTTTACTTCTATAGTAAATTTCATTGTGAATTGCTTGCAAATTTCTATAGCAACTAGACTTGATACATATACAAAACAAGGCATTCTATTACGGTAATGCCCGATTCATAACTCTTCCCAAACTTATTGTCATTCCACCTTTAAACTTTTTGGCAGAAGTATGCCACCAAAGAAGTCTAACAGGTGCAAAAACAACACACCAACAACCCTACTATCGCCACCACCCCCACAGATGGACTCTGAAGTGTTCCAGGTTGCAGTAACAGCTACTGTGGCTGCCGTCGTGGCCTAAATTAGCAGTAACAAAAAGGGAAGTGGAAATAGAACTAACAGTTCCAATCAAAGCAAAAACCAAGAGCTCAAGCGATTGTGCTCCTACAAAGAATTTATGAACTGCAAGCCCAGGACCAACCATGGCGATGGCGGAGTCATGACTCTAACAAGATGGTTTGAAAAGAGCGAGTCCACATTCGAAATCATTGCATGCCCGGATGAGTTTAAGGTCAAATATGTTGCATGTACATTTGCAGACTCAAATTTGTCGTGGTGGAACCAAAGGGCTTCTAGTCCAACGGTATCAGGTGGTGCCCTCCCTTTTTGAGGTTGAGGGTTCAAGTCCCATCGTGGACATAGGTAGAATTATGTGTTAATTTAGGAGTAGATTAGTATATTTGTATTTGCCGGTTCAAAAAAAAAAAACTTTGTCGTGGTGGAACAACCATGTTAAAACTTTGACTCTAGCCGTTGCCAAAGCTATGAGTTGGGAGGACCTGAAAGCGATGATGCTCGAGGAATACTATCCAAGGAGCAAGATGTAGAAATTGGAACAAGAGCTGTAGGAACATGCCTTGAAGGGTTCTGACATTGCCACATACACTTCTCAATTTAACGAGTTGTCAACTATGTGCCCTGGAATGGTCACCCTAGAGGCCAAGAAAGTGGAACGTTACACTTGGTGATTATCCTCTCAGATCCAGGGAATGGTCATATCTGCCAACCCTAGCACCTTCGACAGTGCCAAGCGTCTGACATAAACTCTTGTCGACCAGGGAACTCGTCAAGGCATTATGACCCCCACACCTAAACAACCAAAGCGAGGAGACAACAAGTGGAAGTCCGGGAATAAGAAAAAGGGTCAACCCACTCAAGACTCGGCTAAGAAGCAACAAACTGTGGCCGTCCATGCCGTCACCACCCTTATCGCCCCATCACCAACCAAGTGGATGAATAGCAACAGATCTAACAACCTCCTTTCTTTCGTTGCTTGAAATCCTTCTATTCTCTTCTGAAGATGCACCAAGATACTCAATATTAGCTCACACACTCTCTCTATTAACACAAAGGGTGATCATGGTTTCTCTCAGTGTAGGCAAGCAACTGATGAGCCACAAATAAGGCTATAAGTGCCCTTAAATAGGCCCCAAACCCGAGGTTTTAGGGTTTCTCTTCACATCGTCTACTCAGCGAGTCGACTCTCAGACTCATCGAGTAGATCATTAATCCACGTGTCACAACGCGACCCTACTCGATGAGTTGTAGCACTAACTCATCGAGTTGCTCAATAGTCCTCCAATTAAATAAATAAAAAATATACCTGGAAGTCCAGTTGTTATAGGTGAGTAGACCGATTAAAACACCGACATATCTAAACCTAAGCAGAGGACCAAATCTATCAACATTCCTAAATTATTGTGGCCAAAACCTAAAATGTGTAAAATTCATTATTCCTAAAGTTACATGTGTACTAATATATTTATATCATTATTCCTATGTCATCAATCATTACTTTTTTTTAAACGACAAATATACTAAACTATACCTAAATTATTCCACCTATGGATAGTGTGAAACTTGAACTCTCAACCTCAAAAAGGAAGGGCACTATCTGATACTAGGCTAAAACCCTTTGGTATCCATTATTAACATTGTTGGAGGTTTGTTCGGCAATCTACAAAGGACCTCAAAAGTTAAAATGGTATCAATTCCAATATAAATTTCACAATTGTCTATACATACGTCTTTCTTTCAAATTTATACATACACCAATCGCTCATTCCACCAATTTATCAATAGTCGATGTTGATCAAATCCAAGCTTCCAACATTGGTACAACTTAAAGTCTAGCCTTCTACAGTTTATGTTATTGTTTTTATTTCTAGTTTTTATTCAATGCTATCTATTGAAACAATATATTAATAGACTGTTGATTATTAAAAGTTAATGAACAACTTTATTTTTATGAATACTATGAGAGCTAGCCTCTTAATTCCCAAAGCTATATAAGATTATCTATTATGTTACGGTTCTTTATGTTACCGTTCTTTTGTTTTTGATTATTGTTATAACAGTTATACTAGTATTGATGAATTTCGGTTATAAGTAAAAAAATGCATATTTAGAGACTCGTTTTTGAATCTTTGCACATGACCTCTTAAATCAACGGAGTGGTCCTTTATATACCCTTGTATATCTCGGCCGTCCCCTTATGGTGTAATCCCTAAATATGTTTCGTTATTGAGAAGGAATGGAATTCATTGGAAAATGTCCCGTCTTCTTTAATGACTATTTGTTTTACATACAAAATTGAAAGGGTATAAGAAAAAGAAAAGACCAAATTGAACTCCAACATAGAGACAAGATGTGTGTGTGGACACGAAAAAGACCAGGGTTTCTAGAAGGTGTTTGGGAGGAAAGGTCCAAATTATTTCACCTTTAATCATGTTATCTGAAAGTATCGACATACTACTTTTATAAAAAAAACAAAATTTACCTATTTGTTTATCAAAAGTATTATAAAGTTTTAGTCAGATAGATTATGACATATAAGGCTTCTCGGTTTTGGTTTATAAAGGTTATCTTATGTATTTAATTATTTAATTTTTAACCTCATTTTTATTAAATTATCTATCATTTCATATCGAAGGTGGTATACTAAAGGAATTATTGCCGTAAAATGTAAAGCTATTGGGAATTTGGATATAAAGATTTTTACATAACTCACCCTCAATCCAAAGTAATTCCAACTTAAACAGCCTACTATTTTTATCCTTTTTTTTCACCAAGACTCTCAAACGTCATATTCCATTTTCACAAGATGCTACTCTTTTAAGAATCAAGGAAACTTTTATTACTATTATTTGCTTATATTATACATTTATACTATTTACATCCTACAACAATCATGTGATAGACGACAATAAAATACACAATTACACATGGATCATAACCATCAATTTCTCAAACCATAAGGACGTACATCGAACATTGCACAATGATAAATACCTCTCTCTTTCTTATCACCACCACAAGTTTCAAAATATCACTGGTTTTATCCTAATCACGAGGGATGGAAGCAAGTGCAGTTCTTTGCGTTCTTGGAGTAGCAGCAATCTTGGGGTTATATATTTGGAGGATTTCGAACTGGTTGTGGTTTAAACCAAAAAAGATAGAAAATTTTCTAAGAGATGAAGGTCTCAAGGGTAGCTCCTATACCTTCGTTTTTGGAGATTTGAAAGAAATGGTGCAGATGAGAAGGGATGCCAAATCGAAACCCATGAATCTAACTCACGATATAGCTCCTCGTGTCTTGCCCTTCATCCATAAGTCAATCTCTACTTATGGTATGTCTTGAGTTTTTTTAATTCTGTTAAGTTATGTTTAATTATGACAGTAATTACGTCCTTTTTTGGTTGTCGAGTTCTACATATATATTTTTATTGTTTCCTATAAAAAAATAATCGATATATTTTTATAAGGTTGATATACACATGTAACTTAATTAATAACAGTCTTGCCGTTAAAAAAAAACACATGTACCTTAATAAAAAATCTTAGAAGCAATTAAAACCCACTTCTTTTGTTACTGATCATGTGATAAATTTTCTAGGATGTCGTATGGCAAATTTTCTAAGATGCAAGTAAATTAAAGCCCACTAATTTCTAAGAACTTAAACATAACAAGATTTTTGACACGTCATTGTTAATTCAAAACCACGTGAACAAACATGTTCACAACTATGCAAATGGTAATTAAACACCCACTGCATAAAAAGTAAAAAAAAAGGTATGTTTCTCGTTATGGTGTATAATAAAATGATAATTATCACGCTGTCTTGATTAATGAAAGAGTACATGTATTCTAATGTGATTATTTGCGTACGTAATTAATGATTATATGAGATCAAATTTTTAATCTTCTGTAGATACCCTTAACATTTTTGTCTGTATTCTAATGTTTTGGTTTTTTGCATATTCCTAGGAAAAGTAGTATCTAAAACGCGTATGTTAATTTTCTTTTGTTGGGTTTTTGTCCTAATTATTTAGGTAAGAGTTGCTTCACATGGATGGGGACAAAACCTTTGGTGCACATATCTGAACCAACTATGATACGGGAAATATTGGCTAACTATTATCAGTTTCAAAAGCCAAGGGGAGGAAATCCATTAACAAAGTTGCTAGCAAAAGGATTAATCGATGCAGAAGCTGATCAATGGATTAAACATAGAAAAATCATCAACCCCGCATTCCATGTTGAGAAGCTTAAGGTTTTCTTGAATCTGCTTTTTTCTCCTTTTTAGTACATTATGTACCTATATATATATATCTGAAAACATCATGTGGGTGTGTTTGCTCTTTTTTGCAGCATATGGTACCTGCATTTTATGTGAGTTGCAGTGAGATGATCGACAAATGGGGGAAAATGGTAACCATAGAAAGCTCGTGTGAAGTGGATGTGTGGCCTCATCTACAAACATTTTCAAGTGATGTAATTTCACGTACAGCATTTGGTAGTAGTTTTGAGGAAGGAAGAAAGATTTTTGAATTTCAAAGAGAACAAGCTGAGCTGGTTATAAAAGCTGCACAATCGGTTTACATTCCAGGATCAAGGTGATTACATTTCAAAACAACGTTTTAAAGGGTTCATGCCTTAAATAGATAGCAAACTATATAGTTAATTTGCTCTTTTACAAAATACCATTGTTTTTAGAAAGCAGTAACAAAAGGTAAGTAACGGGGACGTTTTGTTCACGAAATAATTTTCTTTTGATAGTATTTTCCGAACATGCTGTTCTAGTTGCTTATCTTGTGACTATTTGTGACATGGCAACTTATTTCTCCCTAAGAAAACTAATAATAGTATGCAAATTAATTAAAACATATCACTTTAATTTGTGGGGTGATATATTATTTGGTAGTTAAATCGGTACAATCACTACATTTTGGTATTTTATGGTAATCAAATAAGATTTTACAGATTTTTGCCGACAAAAGACAACAAGAGGATGAAAGAGATTGACCGCGAGGTGAAAGCTTCAATAAAACGAATTATTGATAAACGAGTTGTTGCGATGAAAGCCGGAGAAACTATTAATGATGACCTTTTGGGCATTCTTTTGGATTCCAATTACAAAGAAATCAAACAACAAGGGAGTAGCAACTTTGGATTAAGCATCGAGGAAGTAATCGAAGAATGCAAGCTTTTCTACTTTGCAGGACAAGAGACAACAGGAAATATGCTTGTTTGGACAATGATTTTATTAGGTCAACATACAGATTGGCAAACACGTGCTAGAGAAGAAGTCTTACACGTCTTTGGAGATAAAAGACCAGATATTGATGGGCTAAGTCACCTAAAAGTTGTAAGTTTATCCGTATTAATTATAAATTTACTAATACGCCAAAGTTCTGATTTATTTTGTATATTAATCATCTCATTTTGCAGATTAACATGATTTTCAATGAGGTTCTTAGACTATATCCACCAGCAGTAATGTTAAGACGACTTATACATGAAGATACCAAATTAGGTAAGTTAACCTTACCAGCAGGAACCCTTATCCAAGTAAACACATTATTTATGCACCACGACAAAGATATGTGGGGTGAAGATGTGAACGAGTTTAAGCCTGAAAGATTTTCTGAAGGTGTGTCAAAGGTGACCAAGGGTCAAGCCATGTATCTACCATTTGGAGGTGGCCCACGTATATGTATTGGCCAGAATTTTGCTATGCTAGAAGCAAAAATGGCACTTGCTATGATTTTGCAAGGTTTCTCTTTTAAGTTATCTCCATCGTACTCACATGCTCCACACACTATAATTACTCTACAACCTCAATTTGGTGCTCACTTGACTTTATACAAACTTTAATTTGTTTGTTTTGCACATTTTAGTTAATTATAAAAGTTTCTTGTGTTATACTTTTGTGATTACAAATCTATGCAGCTGTAGCGTGCGTGTATATTATTTATATCATTATGTATGTAATCAATCTTGCATATTGTAAAAGTAGTTCTAAGACGACAATACTTACCATACTAAAAAAAATTCAAAAAAAAATTCAAATGTATAAGTAAGTAATAATAAGAATAAATCACACACAAAAAGTTACAATATATTATGTGGTTCGATCATTGTGACATACTTCCACAAGGAATGAGAGAGTATTATTGTTCATGAGCTTGAAAACGATAGTACAATTTAAACCCTAGCTAATAGCTATTGACCGTATTCTACAAGCAATGTAGAAACGTAAACCTAATTAGACTAAGGTCGGATTCAACTACAAAAATCAATGAAAGGTGTCGGGTGTTTTTACTTTGTTCAGGCAAGTCAATATCCACTAGGATCATCAATTCTCAAGTCATGTTTAACAATTTATACCATTGATTTGAGTCCACTCCAAACTCCACAAAGGAAGAACTTTCGCTCCCCCGTGCCATTTTTCCCCAAAGGGACTTTATTTCATGGTAATTAATATATACCAAGTCCAAGCAATGCTTGAACTGCTAAGTAGACAACAATTATTTTAACATACCAACAAGATGTTCCTTGATATCCATCTTTTGAATAGAAACTTTTTATTTATGATAAAATGTACTTTTTCTAAAAGTTTTTTTTGGCTTACTGAATGAACTCTTAAGGCCCTTTTTATTTATGATAGTTTTACGCTTTTTCTAAAAAAAAAAAAAAAAAAATTCTTTTTTAAACAACAGCTAAAAACATTTTTATTATTAAATATTAATAATAGACCTGAATTGATAATATTCTATTATGAAATATAAGGGATAATGACTTAAAACTGTAATATATTTTTTGATTTATACATATTTGGTCATTGACTTTTTTTCCGTCCACATTTACCCTTCAACTTGTTAAACTGTACACATTTAATTATTATGTCCGGTTACTCCAGGTTAACCGGAAAAAATGACTTAATTAGGTAATATATTTCTCATTTTGTACACATTCAGTCCTTAATTTTTTTGTACACATTTAGCCTTAAATATATATTTTTTTTTCAAAATAAGTCATTTTTGTTTTTATACCCATTAAGAACTTATGAATGATTTCTTTATGTTTTCTCACGACATCGTACGTGGGACAATTATTGATGAAGTGTGTGGGGCTGTTGATGTTTTTGTGTAACGTCTCATTTTCACAACAAAAAATTTTCATTTTTAAATGTGACAAAACTACCTAATTATAATACCATAATTAAGAAAAAACGTTTATTCCAAAATACATTTATCGAAAATTAGAGTAATATAAGAAGCATGGAATCCTCAATACTATTGATAAGTGTGTAGAACCATGCTTTCGCCTTCGCACGATCAACGATAGAACTTGAAAACATAAACAACCGGGTAAGCATAAATTTAGTGATTTTCCCCCAAAATACCCAATACAACAAACGTATTATCATGCATAATGGGCCCACACTCATCAGATTCGAATACCTTGGCCCAATCTGTCATCGGACTGCAATGCCAACATTCAACGGGCCCAATCAATCTTTGGACTCGAATACATAGGGTTTTTCGACATGTCGCCTTAACCCAACCGCTTTTCTCGAGCCTTTGTGCCTATGGCTTACAACCGGCCCAAATCAGGTACCTTGGCCTACAACATATAGCAGGACCACCTCAACCTGTCCCACCACCATATGGCTATCCCATGTAAGACACTGTGAGAAAACCTAAAGAAATCATTCATAAGTACTGAATGAGTAAAAAAACAAAATTGACTTATTTTGTAACAAAAAAAATATATTAAGGACTAAATATGTACAAAAATATTAAGAACTAAATGTATACAAGGTGAGAAATATATTATCCTATTAAGTAATTTTTACTGGCTAACCTGGAGTAGCTGGCCATAAGGACTAAATGTGTACAGTTTAAAAAGTTGAAGGGATAACTGTGGACAGAAAAAAAAAAGTCATTGACTAAATTGATGAGTTTTGAGCATAACATCAATCCTACAACGCACATGAAAACCCTAAAGCTTTGGATCTAGATTTCTCTTATTGTACATGAAAATCATCCAAAGCTTACAAACACTAAATCTATCATATAGAAATCAAAATTAACATAGCTAAAACGAGTAAGAATGTTACCTTTCAATTGAAGCTTGAAGATCCTTGTCTTGAGAGCTTAGTATCACAAATGTAATACCTATAATCGATCACAAACACCACAAGCAATTGGAGAATGTTAGAGAGAGGGAAGAGACACGAATTTCGGCTATAAGATCCTCTAGGGTTAAAGTCGTAGAATTTAGGTGCCCCAAGGGGTCTTTATATAGCTGCAGAATTAGGGTTTTAGTCAAAAACCTAATTAGTTTGCTTAGGCTCCAAGCAACCCATTAGATCCTTCCAGAACCAAGCCCTTTGACGATTTCTATATGGGCTTCCATATAAAATCGTCTACCTCTTACCCAAGAGGTTCTCAGCCCATTATTGTAATTATCACATAATTACAATTCCAGTCTTTTTAGTTTAATTAATCTCTTTTGACCACAAAATTAATTCTAAATTAATTCTTGACCAATATTAATTAAACAATATGACTTCTATTTTAATATATTATTCACATAATATATTAATAAACCACATTTATCCTCTTTCTCCATTATTTATCTAATCAAGTTGCTTTGGTGAAGGCAACCCAAAAGGACCATGCTACAACCGGGTCAAGTACATACAATATATAGTTATGGGCTTAGACACCTAAATTCAACAGTCTCCTACTTGGATAAGCTAATAACTATAAATGCAAGTAAGACTTCAAAATTCGATTAGCAATCGTAGCTCTCAAAATCCGTTGTCAACTCTGATGTTATCAGCAACGTGTCTTTTAAATAAGGGATCATATATTCCTCCATTCTAGATATCTTATGAAATGAGACATAGATTATAATCATTCTCTCTGACCATGTGTTGTTTCCTAATTTTCAATTTATGATGATTGACAATCAGACTACAGTTGAACACATCAACTTTGTCTAGTCTTAGCCAAGCGCTTTAGGGTGTCATCACTAAATCATTGAGGGCCCATAGATATCGCTTTTATCCCACATTGGGTAAAAGGAACGGATAAGCTTCGACTCATATGCTTGCTCTATTTACTCATCAAATCACACACAATAATATGTTTTATAACACCAAGTTACTGGTGCGTTTACATATTATCAATGAGCAACCGACTCGTAAACTGCAACTATATGTCTCCGTTTCAAGAATATAATATATTATCGTCGGACACCCACTCATGATAAAATCCATGAAGTGATTCACGTAAGCATGGGTTTAATCCAATACTCAAATCTTATTTCAGGAGCACTCATGAATACTACAACAAACTTGTGCTATGTCTAAACACTTAGACAATCTACAGTCGGATTCATGACAGTCTTACCTCATTACCTACTTCCAAAATATGATTGAGTGTGGATGTTTGAATAACCTAGTTATTCGGGAAGTCAAAACATGTGAAGTGAAACACAAGAATAATCGAATCCAATATGGTCTCAAACTTTTGAGTATAAATAAAACTCCTTTTATTTAATTACCATATTAATTACACATTATTCATTGTATAATGTTTCGAGTAATCAACTTAATACTTGAATTGAAAAAATAGTCATCCTATGCTCCAAGAATGCACACTATGTTTACCCATGATCCTTACTTTGTGAAATAGATCACTTGAACACATTTCAAATGATGCCCATTTCACAATTCTCAATCCTTATCACAAGTGTAAGAATACTAAATTCTTGTTATCTGTGAAATTCTAACATTTTACTTAATGATCCTTTTGTAATGACATAGCTCCGAAGTTACAAAGACTTTGCTAATGATATTACAAAGCGCTCTATTGGAGATTGTTACAAGACAACTCCATAGACATGAAGTCTCAAATTCAAAGTACATTTATTTGAACATCCTTCTTGCATAAAAGTTTTTAATCTACATATTCTTAATATCCAACTCCTATTATGGAAACATTTCCATATTTTCCATATGACAACACATTCTAAATAGAATCCTATCTATTTATAATAATGTCAATATGATCCATCAATTAATATAGTTCCAACTTCCCACAAGTGACTAATCCTTGGTAAACCTTATATTGTACTTGACAATTGTTTAATTTACTTCAGTCACATCCGGTTCTGTTCCTTTTTCCCTCTTAATGCCCTAGGCATTTGGAAAATTAGAACGATCGAATATTACAACATATGCAATTGATCCTATACTCGAAGCGTATGGGATACAATACATAATGTCTTACATAAAGACTTGATGTTTTACCAATCTCCTTCTATAATATTGCTATATATAGAATTTCCTTATGTTGAACATTTTCAACATAACATTCATATATGTCCTCTGATTAAATTTGATTAAAATTTATCGATCTAAGGTTTTAGATTTGAAATTAAGTATAAGTTCATTTCCCTTAATTATAGCAAAACAACTTTTCAACCTCTGCAACTTTGCGAATGTAAACTTTTGTTTTCTATAATTATTATTGCTAACTCTCAACACTTAACATAATAATCATGCTCCCAGTGACATGATAATTATATCCTTACCAACATAACACTTGTGCTCCCACTAGCTTTGACATGTTCTCAAAAAACAGCTAATCAATACTTATTGACTTTCTTACCAAAGTTCATATTTCTTATATGTAGTGCTTCGATAAGACTTTATCTAAGCTCATACACCTTTAATTAAAAAGCTCATATGCGTGTCTAAACTATTTCAGAACATATATCAATAATTCCCAAATGTTCAGGCTAATTGCCAAATCTCACAATTCGAATTATGAAGAGGTATGTCGTAATCATAATCAAAT